AGAGGCCAAACTGCATATACGAGAGCTATTCTTCCTTACACATTTATTCCTTTTTAAATCTACACTGAATTTCATTTGTCACTTATCATTCGGTTGTGCTGTACTCTAGCTTCTTTGGCCTAAGGAGGTACTATTTCCAAATAAAATATTTCACTAAGAACAGCCATTCACGAGGAGGATGTGCAAAGAGCTTTTGCTATGAGCTTGAGCTGCAAGTTTTTCCTTAAAAGTAATGTGATTCCAGGATGCTTACCTTGCACAAAGTTACATAATTTTGTGGAATTTCTTATCTCCAAGATTTCCACCACAAAGTAAGATTGGAAGAAATCAGGCAACAACAGAAATCCAAAGTGGAACGAAACAATTCAGACTATGATCATGCCCTTGTTTCCTCAGGAAACCAGGATGAAGAGACTTCCTTCAAGAGCTCTAGCTAGCTCTTTATTCTTGTACTGTTAGAATACATGAAGTCATTCTGCCTTCCAGACTGGATATTAATTCAAAAGCTTTAGTTTTGGAAGGTGGAAAAGTATTACAAAGTCACTAAAGAACACACTAAGCCTTCTCTGGAAAACAATCTCTTTACCTGAAAACCATTTTCCAAGAGAGAACGTCTAAATAAATGAAGGAACGACTCTTCTATTCCCAACACTTGACTATTTTCATATTCTGATCTCTTAACTTAATGAGGCTTTCCGGGTTAAAAGACTTCCAAGTAGGCTGATATTCAATGGGGAAAAACATTAACAAAACACCTGCATGCTGGGACATTTATTTCAGAAAAAGAAAGGGGATAAAATGAAGATGGTCAAATTTAAGGTGTAGAAAACTGTTATACAAGTTGAAGACATTTCTGTATCAATGACAGTACTGAAGTATGTTTCTGTAGATTAGCAGACTTTCAAAGCAACAGGTTAGAAATACCTTAGCTGACAGGGAAACTATACAAGGCATGGGATAAGCAGACATCAGCCAAGTTTATTTTTGCCTTTTCTTCCCATCTATGTCACTCCTACTGTTCAGGACAAAGAAACTTCTGTTCTCACTCTATTACACACATCTACAACATTCACTTCGATTTCTTATCACTCCACTTCTAGGACTTTGCTATTAAGTGGGTGCTGCTTTATGGTGCAGACAAAACGAAAGCATAAGGATGTAGTGTCAAGTCTGCTGGGTCAGTAGCAGTGCAGCTGAGTTGCTCATCAACTTGCCTCTGGGCATTTCAGCCAGTATTTCAGATTCCATATGGAACTACTTGTGAGAGGGGGACTCTTCAAGGAAGCTTCAAAGAAAACGAGTATGACAACATTACTGTACAAAGGAGACAAGACAGCAGTCCCAAAGATGGGCAGATTTCATCCGGACTGCTATTAACTTCAGAAGCTCAAGCAGTGGGGACTTTTTTCTGATGCTCAATGCATTGGAGAACTAAAACATGTTAGCTTCCAGTTTCTAGGAAATCAAATCAGGAATTGTTGACAACAAAATGTTCCGCAAGTTCAAACAGTAAAAGCATATGTTAACATGGTTAATCTTCAGAGAACTCAATACAACCATGTATAACTGCAAGATTTCCCACACAGTAAGCTCTGTTCAAATCACTAAATGACACTCTTTTTCTGAGCTGATACTACACACTGCCTTACGAAGCAACTGGACAAATAAAGTTGTTCTACAGGAAATCACAGCCCAGGTCATACCTGCAGTACATCCTCACAGGTAGCTCCAAATCTAAAGCACCTGCAGTAAATCCTTTCCATGACAGTACTTTCTGATGCTCATGGATCAGTGTACAAAATGCAAGACAATCTTCTTGGGTACAGGTTCTTATATACTGCAGTGGCTTATCTTAAAGTGTCTTCTTCTTTAGTTCAGCAGATGCATGGCTTAAAGTGCTTCCAAAAACAAAGCAAAAATACCTAACACTTTACTCCCTAAAAGCAGTCAGTCTATTTTAACCTAAAAAAAAAAAAAAAAAACAAAACAAACAAACAAACAAAAAAACCCAACAACCAACATTTGTATATATATCCTTTTGAATAGCCTAAGCACCAGTCTCTTCAGAAGTTTCATTCCAATTCTAAATTCTCTCTCCTCCTAGCATCATTTCATCTTTAGACTATGAATCTTTTTTGCTTTGTCCCTGTACACTGTCACAGAAATAAATTCAAGACATTGAAAAAAAACTGGCTGGGTATTTTGGCCAGTCAAAATACCCTACAACATTTTTTTTTCCTGAGTCATTCAAATTGTAAGAGAGTAAGTAAGACATGCAACTGCTCCCTATTGTGAGGCTGATGAGGAGGAAGGAAACAAATCTGTAGCACAGGTGGAATATTACTGCACATTTATCAATGAGCAAAAGCAATCAAGTTATTGGTAGTCAGCACAATATCAGTCCGTAAGTAGCTTTTCACCATATGAGATTTCTAGGACATAGAACCATGTACAGCAAGGGAATTTCACAGGTACTTAGACTGAGATTCCACCTTGTAAATAGTGCTGACAGTGCATGAAACATATGGATACCATGCTCAAGTATCCTCAGTATACAGTCAGAAACAAATTGAGGAAGACAAGAGGAAGACAGACCTTATAATTTCATCGCAGTATTCTCAACACCAAAACATAAAACCACATTCCCAACTAAAGCATCAAGATGTGAGAGCAAGCTTTAGAGATACTTCTCACCTCCAGCCAATAGAATCGGTGTTTCTGTTATATTCAGTGATGTTTTGGATCCAATGACAGTGACCAACACAAACCACCTACAGTTCACAAAATTCTCTCCAGAAACAGACCAATATCATATTCTGCTTATTAAATATCTTCTATTTTAGCTTAAATTCAGGAGTTACCAATGATACACATAATTTACTTGAATTAAGGTTGCTTAATTGGTTTGCTACAAAGCATCTGAGAAATATATATTGTGAATGCAAAGGGAAAAGTGAAAGAGAAAAATATACAAACCAGTGAAGTTTCCTGATTTCACACTTTAAATTTACTGTTTAAAGCACCTTCTCTGTAGGAGAATATTATCTTGATCTGATTATTTTATGACATTAGTAAAACGGACAAGAAAATCAATGTATGCTTTCATGAACTATTCACATCAGTTCTAGTTTTATCAGGCTAAACACCCCTCCATTAGTATTTTTATGTTCAAGTCACAGAAAAACAAGAAAAATCAAGCAAAATATTGTTTCTAGGAGTTGCAGTTATGAAGCTACTTCTGCACTTCTCTGCAGCAAATTAGTGCTGCCAATGGGCCCTACCAAAACAGTTCATTTGTCTGTAGGGACTAAAGAGAAAGGAGACCCCTGATGGCTGATATGATATTTGCAGACACTCAGAGAAGTCAAGCTGGCAAAAAATCTCAGGCATGAAATATAACTACATTTCAGAGTAGTTTCTCCACCCATATCCATTATTAATGTAACCATGCAAATTTTAGCACTGCCTAGGTAGAAACAATTACGCTAGTATTACAGGCCACAGCCTGAGAAACCATGCCTTGGGCCACCTTTTACAAGAATCACACAGAAGATGACTTCATCAGTGACATGCAAAGGGATTTCAGAAACATCTCCAAAGCCTGTGGAGAAATGTGAATACAGAAATCCCATGCATCTTTAAAAGTCATCTGAAATCAAGTGGTTTACTTTTTCCCCACATGCCCAGCACTTAATTATTCTTTGCCTCAGCTCCTCATCACAAAACCAGAATCCCCCTACCATGCACTAAACATCTATCATTCCAATAAGGTGACGAGGATTACAGATCCTAGTTATGTGTTTACAATACATGCCAACATCTTACTATATTCATCTCTGGCCCCAAAATGTGATCCATATAGCACAGCGATCAGAAGAACATGGCTGAATCCATTTATTTTGACAACAAAGCTTTTCACAGCATGAAAACCCTCACAGTGCCAATTCTGTTCAGATAGTGTTGATATGTACGAGCTCTTGAGTTAAAGGAGCTGATGATGGCTGTGTCCACAGAAGCAAAGTTTTGACAGTAACAAACAAGAATCAGCATCAGCTGGAGCGAAATAGTTTCTTTTGCCTCCAACTACACAGAATTCAATCACAAGTTTGGACAATTTAAGATCTCTGCTCTTCAAATCACAAAATAAATAAAGTCTCCCTCTCACAGCAATCATCAATTTAGTTAAAATATTTAAAACGTTTTTCACTTGATATATCCCTCAAATTTTGGAGGATTAAAATTTATCTACAAGACAAAGCTCCTGGGACACAGGTAGACTCAAATACTGTCTTTCAGACAATTTAGTTACTATGTAGAAAAAATACATATATGCTATAGTTTCATCAAAAACATGTTAATAAATTAGAGTAGGTATTAAGTCTGCCTTCAGGCAGAGCTTCCAGCCCAGTGTGTATTAGGAAAGCAGAAAGGAAAACAAGAAAGAAGTTTCTGAAAGTTTAGTTTGACTGGATTGGTAGGAACGTGCATTCCCCACCCACTGTAAAAATCTTCATATGAAAAAGCAGGTTGTCAAAACATCAGTTTCAATTTCAGATGTGCTGCAACCCAGGATGGGGAGGCTTTGATCACTGTGGATACTGAGAATCCTATAATATATTTCACAATAGCATATAAATTAAAATAGGTTGGTGAAATTCCAATGTGAGTAACTGGAATCTGCCTACTCAAGTGTTCTTCTGCAATTGCAATCACATGCAGTATTCTTAACTTCCTGACCTGAAGGATAACGTAGTACCGCTCAACAGCTGCTGTTTAACAGATTTAGCTGCATTTTAGCTGCAGTGAAGGGTAAAGATAAAATATTGAAAAATAATGGTGAATGCATATGCTTAGCATAAAGAAAGAAGGTAGAATAATCAAAATATTAACATGAGAGAACAATCAGTGCCTCAGCATTCCAACAAATTACACAGTAAGGCAGACATAAACCCACATTAACTGCAAATAAAGGATAATCTAAATACAGTTCATTATTTTACCTGTCTTTGCATCTCTTCAATCTGTCGTTGGGGAACACTTTGCAGAATACTGTACATTTCAGGCATTTTTTCTTCAGGGATGACTACAGAGGCCCTATAAGCAAACAACCAGAAAAACAGTAAGATGAGAAAAAGTACATTCCACATTAAAAGAGATCAACAGCTCTTTTAACACAGAAACTTGTTCCACATTTAATATGATGTGCTCAGAAGATATCAGTAGAAATAAGCAGTATTGTCCTAGTGTAATTTATTATTCTGTAGCAACTCCCTCATGACCACGGTCAGCCTGCCCACAGATGACATGACAGAAGTCTATGGACTGATCTGCAAATCAATTTAGAAAATATGGAAGGGACGGAGACACAGAATTCCTGAAATCCCATCCCTGGACTGCCACTGACTTGCTGACACCTTCGATCTTTCAGAGTGACAACTGATAGCACCTACAGTGCTACGCATACTAACTAGTAATTTTGTATGTATTATCCTAAGATCACATAACTGAACACTGTGCACATATGGAAAAATAAAATCTAGACTCTTAACACAATATACACAACTACAAAATAATTATGCTTTTCAGTCTCAAATGAACTTAAGAATCATGATATAGTATAATAAATTTAGCATCCAGATGATGCCATTTTTTTGCACATTCTGTTCTTAAGAGTCTAAATGCAGATCAGTCATCATTAAATGCAAGCTTAAGAAAACAAAGCAAGTCTGCCTTGGAAAAGATATCATTGGCTACAGGATAAACAAACAGTTCAATCAACTCTGCCTCCTTTGTTTTCCTCTCTTGTTTTTGATACATGAATACATCAAAGGCCAAGATCACATTTATCTTTTTCAGTATTCTCTTCACTGTAACTACCAGTGCTTTTGACTTATTACAGTGGTTTCACTCAAATCACTGAATACAATGGATGCCTCTTAGGTGCAAACTGGATGTACAGCAGCTATGGTACAAACCTCTTCCAGTCCAGAACCTCAGAGAAAGGCAGGATGTAGGAGTCAGCAATAATGACTGGGACACAGCCGGCTTGAAGAACATCACTCAGTACAGCCTGTCCGAGGCGGGCTCCACGTAGAACAACACAGAATGTAGCTTCCTGTCAACAAATGATACCCACCACAATGATGAGGGAAAAAAGAGCAGTATTAGAGTTGAAGTAGGTATGTACATTTATGCCCTTTAAATTGTCGGGGGGGGGGGGGAGGCAAAAGGAAAGCAGACTTGCACTTGCACTGCGCTACCAATGTATTCTGAGTCACCAATAAATTCAAGTTTATCTACTAGTGGCTCATAAATATTAAGTGGAAAGCAGAGAAATCAGCTAACAAGATTATTCTAAGCTTTACTTTAGTGTTCTAATTTCAGAATTCTAGTTGAGAAAATTCAGGTGGAAAAAACAAGTTTGAAAGTTGGCATAACAAGATGAGCAAAAAGCAGTGTGAACTTATCAAGTACAAAACGCACGATGCCAAACCAACTTTTTTCCACTATAAGGATAACAGGGACACAACAGATTTCATAGGCAATCTTAAAACACACTTGGCATCTGATAACATTTTCATAAGGAAATTTAAAAAAATCATGAGATTGATAAAACCCTTAGAGGCTTTATAGTTACAGAATTCTACATAAAAAGCAGTTAGCAGTGGCTCACAGGTAAAAACAAAGTGATGAATCAAAAGAGTTAAAAAAAAAAAAAAAAATTATCCTAGTTGCAGCATCCAAAATGTTTCTTAGTTAAGGGAGGAGCAAAATTAAGACTACACTACTTATTATATGTGATGATGGTTGACATTTTTTGGAAGATTAAGAAACATAATGGATAACAAGATTAGAGTTTGACAGTACATTGAGAAAATGACTAAAAATACACATATAGCCTTCAACATTTAGGTAAAAATCAACAGCACAAATGCAGAGCATGAAATAATGGGCTATGTTCTGCGTTTTGCAGAGAAGGATATTTCATACAAAAGGTATGAAAAGAAAGAATATTCATGTGCAACAACAATGTTATGCTACTGGAAAAAAAAAAATTTAAATCACTCCACCATAGGTTGTAAAAGAATGTAGAAAGAAGCACAACCTAAGAGAATGGCAGTAATCTCTCACTCTGTTCAGTACTGCAGGACCCCAGACATAGCAGCGTATTTAGTTTTAGGCAATGCACTTCCAGGGAAAAGAAGCATGATAACTTATCTCAAGAGCGTGACCAACAAGACTCAACAAGACTACTTATTCCAAAGGGGTACAAATGGGAGGAAGGTGGCTAAAGGGAGCTTCAAAGACATAAAAAGATTCCACAAAAAAGAATATTAACAGCTTATTCATGCCCATGGCACACAAGATGAAAAGCCACAAGCTGAAACTCCAGCAGAGAAAGTATCTTGGCTATGCTGCAGATACGGTATTTAGTTCACTTCAACATTACTGAGGAAACCTGCTACAGATTCAAGATGACAAAAAAAAACATACTTGGAGAGTTTAGCTCTACAGAGAAAAACTCCAAGTCAGTATTATTCCCAAATCTAAGAAAGAGAAATCAAAATTGACACAAGGGCTTGCACAGATAAGAAAATATCTTTCCAGTTAGCATTCTGTGGCCTGATGAGAAGGAGCCAGGAAGGCAGGGTAGAAAAACATGAAAATGAAACTAGGAAATACAACAGAATTTGCTGGATCTTCACTCGCTTCCTAGTGCAATTGTGAGCCTTGTGCTCATATTTGTAGAGTACTGAAGAGTCTGAGAATCCTGTCCAAGAGAAGAGTGCTAACAGGAGGCTTTAGCAATCCAAAGTCCAAGAGCCTGGCTAGAAAAAAAATCTGTACAGGCAGTGCTGGAAAGGATGAACAGGGATCAGTCCTCAGGCTTCCTCCTTCCCCTACTCCCAGACAAGAACAGAAGGAAAAGAAGGGTGGGGGAAAATGGAAGGAGCAGAGAGAACAAACACATTTTAACCATTCACTTGCTGGATCACAAAGAAACAGGTGGAAGAAATCCTAGTAAGGTCTGGGAGAAGGGGGTGGGGAAGATAAAGAAGAGTCCAGATGTGGACACACATGCTCATCTGCCCAGATAACCATTTTTCCTGTCTAGACAAAGGTTACTATAAATACATCTCCTCACATCACCACTGTTATCAGCCAGACATTCCAAAGGGAGATGCAGGGCTCTGCTAAGGAAAGTATTTTAACAATCTCTGCATGTGCCAGCTCTCTTCAGAGATATAAAATAATACATAGCAAGATATAGATACAGATCCTCTGACTTGCTATCCTTGAGCTATCCAGTCAGTATTTAAAGAAATACAGCAAAGAGATTTTTTTCCTCCCCTTTTGACTGGAAGTTTAGGACTCATTGTGACCCGTTGTTCCCTCTCCCTCTCCCCCTCCTCCCCAAGGAATTTTAAACATATTTCCTTCAAAACATAACAGGAGGGGTGGAAACTTTGCCTTTCTTCAGCCTGTTTGTTATTTTATCATCATTTGTTGAAGTTCAAAGACAAATTATGTGCTGGTGGCCACAGACAGAGCACAGTGGCCTATGGCATAACTCACTTCACCACACCACATGCCAAAGCACCTCTCTGTTAGAGAATTGCCAAGAGACCCAGGGGTCTGAGAACACTACCTAGTTTTATCTTCACTGACACATCAAAAGGCCTCTGGAAGTTGGGCCAAGGCCATCAAACACATTTCACCTAGATATTTTCATAGTTGCATGCTGACAAGTCTTCTAGCTCAGTCCATCGTGTCTACAGAGAGAATTTTGTAGAGTTTAACTACTAAGTTGCATACAAAAAATGCAACCTGATGAACTGTATTTGTAGCAGTCTTTTTTTCCCTCAAAAAATAAATATATACATAAGCTCTGCAAAGTTCATTTTAATCTGTCCTGCAACTATCAAAGCAGGCCACTGTTCTAAGCTCGATCTAACAAGACCCGAAGAATCGTTAAGAAATCAATTTCAAACTCATGCCTACTGAAGGTCACTTTACCAGTCATTCTGGAGGTGTAGATTCTAAAGTTCTTCCCTAGTTTTAAAGCAATCAATTTTGCCTGACCTTCAAAATTTTCACCTCTCATTACAGCTGGATTTTGTGGTATCTCCACATCCTTATTTAAGTTTACACCATGTTATCATGTACTACCACAACCACCATGACCAACCCCATTAAGTTGTTACACTTAAGCAGTATTCCAGACTGCAGTGTATCCTCTATACGAGTTTGAGTACACGGTTCTTCATTCTCTTAAAAATCAGAATAAAGTTGGGATATAACATCCCAGCTGATCTAATGAACTGTGCATTTGCAGAACATTGAATGAAATATAAACAAGTTCCCTATCAGGAACAGCTCCACAGCTAAGACAGTCACCAAGAGAAAGAGAAATCTGCAGAAGAGACAGTCTTACCTGAAGCACTTGAGGATAATCAAAGATTTGATTGTTGTGACAGCGTTTGCGAACAGCAGGGACCCCATCTGACAGATTTGTACATTTGTCAAGGAGCAGCACCGATTCCCCATTCTCAGCCTGAAGAGCTTCCAACTCAGACTGGTATTCTGGGTGCAGAGACATTTGAGATGACAGAATGAAATACCTGCGGGGACTGAGAAAACACAGCTAGTTTACTTGACAGCAATGCCAGTTTACTTCCAAGGTGCTTGGCAACATGTTCCCTTCCACTCTAGAAAAGTTAATCTCATTCTGCTAAATGTAGACATGTGCCAAAATCAGATTTTCAGACAATGCAAGAAAGAATGCAATATAATTTAATTTTTGATATTAAATGGCTTAGCATTATTTACAATATCAAATAAAATCATACACAGAAAAAGTGCTTGTATGAATAGGCACTTGCATTATAACCTCTTTTATAAATTGAAATTAACATTACTTGTCTATATAATAAAGCAGCTTGCTACTGAGGCTTGATGTCTGTGCAGTGTTACAAAGCAGACAGGACACCGAATGCTGCTACTGTTTTCTCCTCCCATATTATTATTATTTTTTTTTAATCAATTTTAATTGGAAAAAAAATGCTGAACTGTCTGATCTTATTCCCTCTTAAGTCCTACCACATCCCAAAACCATGAATATTCAAGATGTGCTTCAACACTGAATTATTTCACAGCTTTAATTAGACCTGGAGGTAAAACACACAACAACAATCGCAGTTTAGAAGCTCTCTCCTTAAAAAATGGGATTTGTTAATGCTGGAATATATCATGTCACACAAATGTTATACTCATTTAGTCTGATTTTTTTTTTTAAGCAGATCAGATAAGTCCAACTACTCTACTGCTTCCCATTTGAGGGAACACGCAGTGAGAGCGTGCCCTCACGCAGCCAAAATAACGCAGGAAATAGGAGGCCTGAACTTAGGATTCCAATTCTGCTCCACATGATACTATTTTTAATTTACAGCTTTGAAAACACACACAAACACACACTTTATAAAGTCAGACCTTTCCTGCTGCTCTTCTCACCTCTTTTACTTATTTCCCTGCTGGTCACTTCAGTGGATCCAATTAGCAGAGAAGACTTGAACAGAATTTTTTTAAAGCCACTCTTGTTCCTAAGCCTGCAGCTGCCACCATCTTGCTACAAACAGTTTGCAAGAAACATATGTTTCTTGCAGAGTTGGATTTAAAATATTTCAAATTATCCAACTCAAAAGGCCAGTAAATCACAAACTCTCTGTTCAACTCTGTAAGAGGAACAAAAATAGGATTTGCCTTTAAAAAAGGAAATACCACCACACACTAGTGATAATGGACGTTTACGACCAGTGAAAGATTGTGTGGGATTGATTGGGCGTTTAAAATCAAATTTTGCCTTTAAACCATCATCATCCTATGACACCCAAACCCAGCTATCAAATCTTGTTACAAAAGAAAGTAGATTGCAGCTAGCAGGCAATAACATTTCAGTGTAATGGAATGTGATTACTTATCCCAATCAAGCTCGAACCTGAGCTTTGTTCTCTTGTCACTGTCTTCCAGCATAAAGCAAAGAAACCTGTGAACATTTCAATTAGTAACGCTAACTGGCCGCTAGGTGGTACTCTGGAGACCGCAGTCTGTTCCTCACAAAAAGTTGTGTGTGTTTGAGAACACAAACCTCCCATCAAAAATGGTCTGACACAGCACTTGGTTGACTATCTGGACACGACCAGTATGACAGCATCTCTCTCTGCAACAGATTCTACACATGCTGAAACTTATGATCATGTTTATATCTTCCAGATAGAAATACAAAGCATGCTCTCAGTCTACATTGGGCCATAATACTTGAGACGTGACGTATCAGTTAGGATTCAACCAGGTGTCCCTACACCTGCCAGGTCCGGAAGCATTATAAACAAGAGCATAACGTGTGTGGGTAAAACAAACTTCTACTGTACAGCTTAGTCCTGTAACTAACTACGATTCCTTGCTCTGGAGCAGCCCAGAGCAATAGCAAGAATGTTGCCCTTACCAGAGGAGACAAATGTAGCCAAAGCTCCAGTTTTTGTCTTTTATCAGCAGCACCCTTTCAGCAACAGTCTTCAACTCTGACAAATCCATATTCTTTAGAGGATGCTGTTAGAAGAAATTCCCTAAAGCTTCTGCGTTTCCAATCTTGAGATTCATAATCCGTAAGAGCACATTTACCCCACTGCCTCAATCTGCTCAGCTTTTAAACCACAACACTGGTAACAACCTGCTACAGGGAAGTTTTCAGCTGTGTAATTAAAAGGCTTATTCAAATGCTTCTTTTGTCTTTGCTATATATACAATTTATTGTCATTAGTTTGCTTTTAAGTATCTTAAGTGATCTGAAGATATAATTTACTAGGGAATCAATGCTACTTGGAATTACAGCTCTGCTTTACCTAAATTTTAAAAACAAACATCAAAACAACTATTTTTATTTATTTTCTGTAAGTTGAAAAACGTATTCTAGATATATTGAATCTAATGCTACTAGAAACACTGTTGTCCTGTTTCACAGTTCAGTTTCTGGAGTGGATCACCAAGAAACATTGTCAGACTATCACCTACCACACTTCAGTCTCTGGAGTGGGAAGACAGAATCATCTCCCCTATACCCCCAGCTCATAGGTAACCCACACCCTGGCAGATTAGCCAAGGCTACTAGCATCAGAACCATCACGTATTTTAACAGGAAGAGCCACACATGAGCCCAACTCTTACACAAATTGACCCAGCCTGCCAAGAGGCTAGCAGATATGTTTGTATTTTATTTGTATCCATATCACACGCAATATTCAATGTACTTTGCCAATTCATTGGAATCACTTTACCCTGGTCCTCTTTCTGGCAGATCCACTTCTGCAGACAGAGGGCTGTACACAGGAATACTGACATCGTAGCCTTGCCGGTAAGTCCACGTGGAAAAGCCTCCACCAGCTAGCAGAGCTCTGAAAAATACAAGAGACTATAAACAGAGAATGTAAATCATTCAGACTCAGAGCATGATTTACTGGTTATCATTACCAGAACAGCAATAACAGTTACTGAGATAACAGTTTTTCTCCCAACTTCTGTCAGTGGAATTTTTCATGCAGTTTTTAGATTCACTTCAGCCTTCCTGAACCGGGCTTACTGCCAGACTGGATACAGTCATCAGTGGAATGTTTGCAGTGGCATATGATCACTGAGGAAAGGACCATTTTTGCATTCTTATAGGGAAATGGAATCTATTGCTGTCATTACAATCACCCTACATTTTTTCAAGCTTACATGCGCTAAGTCCATTTTAATTTAAAGAAATACTTTCTTGATTGTTTATATCAGTTAACATATTCCTCAATGCCTGCCCTAAAACAGTGCATAACACAGCTCTCAGAGTGTCAGACAAGCAGCATTTCGGGTACAAGTCCAGACAAAATACAGCATTTTGGCAGCTTGTAACAACCCTAGACTTCTATGGCAAATAAAATTAGTTTATATTTTGTTCTCAAAGCAACCGCGTAAACTTTTAAGTTTCTTTTCACCTATCACTAGAAAAAAATGCTGTAAGCAGAACACACCACAACGAGAGCTCAGTATGCTCTGAATCCAATCTCCAAGAGTAGAGGCAGCTTGGGACACTGCTAGAATGCATGAGAATAACCAAGGATGGATAAATTAAGATACATTTTAACTCTTTAGACAGATGACTCTGTCTGTGGCCTTTCCTAAATGGGACAACCTTTCATAACATAGAGAGAAAGAGCTTTCAGAAACAGAAGAGAATGTGTACAGAAGAAAGCAACGCACCATTCAGTGCCAGAAGAAACTAATGTGTTATTATCTCTTATCCCAATTCTAGCTTCTTTGAACAAATGATTAGAGGCCAACAGCTTTTCAGTTACATTTCATCCCCAGTGACCAGGTGGCACACTGAACACATCATCTGATTCCAAAATATGCTTTCATCCAGCTTCTTCTGAGACTCCTGAAACGTCTGATCATACTTTTAGTCCTTCGTCACCAACAGCAAGGTGAGCTATTCCCAAAGTTGCCCTAGAGATAATGTGTTTGTCTTAATTACCACTTAAAGTAATTTGCAGAAACCTGTCTCCAGGCAAAGAAGAAGGACACAAATACAGCAGCACTCTAGGCAACACGGAAAGGGGCTTGAGGAACTGTACCCATTGCAGCAGCTAAATTACAGCCCGCAGCCTTACCACAACCTTGCCCACTGCCACAGTTGAGACCAGAGCAGGCAGGTCTCATCAGTAACATGAGAAGAACATCAGTATGAGACCAGATGAGATGCTGAAAACACAACAGGTGAAGTAGTCTCCAGCTATCACTGAATTAAATGCATAGTATAGTGTTCAGAGCAGTTTTTCTATTGCTCTTATACAACAGATTATGATTTTACTTAGTTATCATCCAAGACTAATTATTTTTCCCCCTCAGAACTCATCAGCCTGATTAAACACCAGCATGTTCTGCCTCTTCTAGCTCCCTTCAAGGTGTTCTGCAGGATAATTCACTTCCTGCTTTAAATTGCAGCGCAGCCGTTTAGCGTTCCTATAACCCATTTTGGTACAAATAAGACTTCACTAAATGTCATTCCAGAAGCTCTTGGAAAACCATAGGCTCTGGATTAGAGACATATTTCAGTTTGATGACAATTACAAACTCAAACACTTGCCTTTCATTACTCTTCACTCAGAACACAAACCACTTGTAGACGCAAACTATTTGTAGCAGCAGAAATCAACTTGAGAACAGGACGATAAATCAAGAACGCGTCGAGTGAGAATTTACGATCCAAGTGCTTATTTGGGATTCCTTTCCAGTGCCTCCCTTTTGGTGACATATATGCGTTATGTGTATATTATGAGCAGGTCTCACCCTTGAAGCTACATGTTCCAGGGCTTATCCATCAACTCAACTACCAGCCAGGAGAAAAAACTGGCTTAGACATTGCTGTTCTTGCACTTTACAACCTCCTCTTTTTATAACCCCCTAATTGGGAAACTACAACCAGATTGTTTTAATTGGATCCGGTGAAAACATGACAGCACCTCATCAGCCTTGAGAAAGCAGGTGTGTCATACAGACATTTACTTAAATAAACCCGCAGGGAACCAACACCAGCTAAATAACTCCTCTCAGATTTTCATTCTGTGGTGCAGTGAGGGAATAGAGATATTAACTCCTAATATAGTCAAGGTGAATAACCTTCAAACAGCACTAAGCAATGAGCCTGTTTCAGAGCAACTTTTCACCACTTCTCAGATACTGATCCTGCTTGCTCTCCAGGAAGTGCCCCAACTGGTCTGCACTCTTAAGTGTTTCTGCCCAGCTGCCAACATCACCAGTTTTCTGCCAGATCTCACAAGTCACTGAAACCCAATTTGTCAGCTGAAGCAGAAAGAAAAGGTATCATCATCCCTACGTTCAATTCTACGGCTACAGAGTGGGTCAGAAAAAGAAGTCTCTTCAACCACACTACTATACTAGATTTAGTAATACTTATTAACAAATAAAGGGCTTATCTTTTAAGCTTTATGGCAGGAGATTACATATGTTACAGCAGCTAATATCAGCAACATAGCCTCCACACCCTCAAGGCAGACTTGCATTGTGGAAATTATGGAATAAAGTGCTTTTATCTGTCTCCTAGTAATCAGATTTAAAGATTTAATAAACAGTCAACTTCTCAGTGAGCTAGCTTAGCTAAAGACTTCTACAGACATAAAAATAATATATAAATCAATTCCCTTCTGTGCATAAGGCCTTTACCTGGATTCACATTCTGCAGCAAATCAGCAGAACATGATTCTATCACATCCATGATCCATAAGTGCTCAGTATGAGAAGGCGGGCCACACTCCCTTAGGAAACTTCACAGATACTACCTGTGTATTTCACCAGTCACCCACAAAATCCCACACACCCACTAGTCCTTATGGAGCTCTATCTGTACAGTTCAGGCCTGTCATTCAAAATCCATCAAACTCTGCCAGAATACATATATTTCAACCTGCAGCCTCACACCTCACAGCGCTACCAGTGCTGCATACTTTGTTAACTACCCATTCTGTACTTTGTGGATGTATTCAGATGAAAAAGGCATGCTGGGTTCTCCTGTTCTGTTAGATATGAGGTAAGGCCTCCAGAGGTCTCCAAAACCATACTGTAACCACATGTGACAGCACTCAGGCGCTTCCAGAACTAGATCCTCACAAGTGATTTTGTCACAGATCATTTATTTTCACACGTGTGGCCAGGATTTACACTTACTACAGCCTGACAGCTGGCTGCCTACAAAAAGGTATTTCCACCTTTTATACCTCTCAAACGTTGTTGCCTCTCTACTGTACTAGAGCTAGTGGTTATGCAGCTGTAGAGCAAGTCAACTCAGCAAGCTATGGCAACAGCTGCTTCAGAAAAAAAAGGTGTTTTTTGTTGTTTTTTTTTTTTAATTCAAATGACATGAATTCCTGTAGTAGCTTGGGAGACACTTACAAAAAACATCTATCAAAATAATGTATTTTCTGCACCCTAAGTTAGGGTCAGACATAAATGGACATTTGACACAATTTTATTTTCATTGCGTTGTGTAGTAAACCTCCTGCACTCACTTAATAAGTCTGCTTTTCCTATGGACACAGGCGTGCAGTCCAAGAACAGTCCATCCTGCTCAAAAGAACACTGTTAAATGAAAACCCTTGTTAAGAAATACAAATCTTAAAGAGTTTTGTAGGAACAGATTTACAGGTTTGGTTACACAAGAACAGTGCTTGGCTGCCCTCTTCAGGATAACCCACATCCATGTAACATATTCCATAGGCTGGCAAAAACTAAGAAATCACTTCACAATCAGTGATGTGATTACAAAGAGTAAACATACTCTTCAAACATGTCAAAAAAAAAAAAAAAAAAAAAAAAGCCAACAACCAAATGTATGTCTTCTGGTATTGAAGGATAATGTTTTAAATCATCTTTGGTGCAAAGAAATCAAGATAAGCTCTACACTCAACATTCTAAGTTACAATTCCATATCTCAGGGAAGATTTTGTTGACAGAGCATTCAGCAGAAGGCAGCTAACCTTGATCTTCAAGGGAAGGACTGATTACATGGGATCCAAATCAGCAAAGCTAAACGTGCATAAGCTAATTCAGTAGAAACATATTCAATAACAGCTTCTAAACTAATAAAGTTTGTCTTATTCCAACTTGCATTGCCTTACAACTTCCTTTTCTCCTTCAAAAGTAAACTGTTCTGCAAGTGAAAATTAAGCTCAGGAGCCTTTTAAGCTCCTGCCAGATACCTTAAAATGACAGAACAACTATGAGAAATTGCCCAATTACCAGTGCAGTGTAACTGTTGAGATAACAAACGTTAATGAAAATCACCATAGTTTCAGTTTTGTCAAGTTTTATCTGTTTTAAAACATTCCATGTAAACGTTCTGACTTGTATCAGAAAGTTGAAGCCAGGAGCAATCTTTGGATTTCTACTTTGCATCACATGAGACATTCTGTAAATGCATCAGGTTCTGTAATACAATATACAAGCCTAAACTGAAAATTCTCCATCATTACAGCAAGTAAAAGAGCTAAGACAAACAAATGCTACAGATCGTATTGCCTGTAAAATTGAGAATGGGAATAAACTGTTGGAGCAAACTCTTGGCCTGTACAAGACAGGGACTTCTCTACTTCTCTTGACAAAGCCATATTTCAGCTTTGTAAAAGCTAAGGAGCTATCAGCTACAGTTCTGAACTTGCTGCTTCTCCAAAGGCATTTAAATAGAGATCTCTGCATTCAAACACAGTAAAACTCATACCTATCTCTAGGAACATCCAGTGCAGTGTTGTAATCTGGTGGCCCTCCAGGCAGCATATTAAAGAGTAAATGATTTGTGCCTCGATCCCATCTAAAGCAAAAGAAAAAACAGACAACAATTAGAAAGATGTTATCTATAAACAGATGATAAGTTCTGTCCAAGACTAGCTCCAGCACTGACTCACTGGATCCTCCCTCCCCTCCAACATAATTTTATTCCACTTGAGTTCTGCAGCGTCCTATGTGGAAGTTTCAGCAAGTACCTGGACAGCTGTGCCAAAGCCTGAGCTGTCTCCTTGATACGGAGTGTGTTCTGATTGAGGACATCTATGGATGGCACAAAAAGGCAGGCTCGGTTGACATCATCAGTGTAGTATTCACTGTCAGAGATGGCAGTCAGCAGCTCGTTGTATTCCCTGGAAATAGTATTGCTCACTGACGTCCCATACTCATCCACATACTTTTTCAGTGAGTAGATGTATACTTTGATTTTGTTTTTGGGATTAAAGCCGCATCGATAGACATCAAAGCAGGTGTGCATCCGGCAGCTGAGGTCTCCCCGCTCAGGAATGGGGCTGTCAGCAGGAAGCTTGACCACAGGCACATCATGGACACTGCGTTTTTCAACAGTCCAGTCACTGGACGACTCGATGGAGTGAGGCCAGAACTGGAAGACTCCTGTGGCAATTAGGCCAAGCAGAACTATGGAAAAGAGAGTGATGTAGTAAATGCGATGCTTGGTTTTCATTCTTGGGATGAGGGCTGGACCCCGGGTGTTATATTTGGCTGACGCACACATAATGGCATCAATTATCTCTTGTCTCTGCAAATTAGAAAGAGAGAGATTTAAGGCTGAGCTCTGGAGGAGACACAAAGTTATCACTGTGCAGAGAAAAACATTAACCCATTCAAGACAAGCTCTTTGCCTCAGCAGATTTACAGTAAAACTCCTTCAGATGCTCACGTTCCTTGGGAACATAAGATGCCAATGGTTGGTTATTCGTTGTGACTGCCACTTGGCAATGACAACAAGAAGCCCACCTGAAGCCCTGATTCTTCACAGGCGGTACTCTGGAGTGTACACACAGTGAACACCAAAAAAACCATCACGCCCAGCTTAGATGTGAGTGAAGAGACACAATGTGGATAGCATGTAACAAGCAGAACTTGGTATCAGGATACTGTTTCTAACGCCAAGTGACCTTCAAATCAAATTGCACGCGCTCGACCAGAAAAATGCCAAAGAAAACCTAGAATGGAAACCAACTCAAAATGAAAAACCTTTACAGAATTCAGACTAAATGATTGTGTTCTAAGATCCTCATCCATGGAGACAGCCAGGTACACAAGCTTATTTCACCCATAGCTGAGGCTACCTTAGAACTGACATTTTATCTCCCAAAAACATCCGTTTGTGCAAGCAATCATATTCTGGCACTGAAATAATTACTTCTGGATATCAGTTAGGAAAGAGGGAAACCTTACACATTTTAACAATCTCAAACCTCCACTTTCCCAGAAAGAGTGAACATAAATGCAATTACTACTACAAGCATTATACCAGCCAAGGGGGTTAGTTGGCTGTAGTCTTAGTGACACTTTTTTTACAATAAATATGATGTAATATAAAGTGTCACAAACACAGTCACATCACTGCTGCCACTGCTGACTGTTCTTTAAGCTTTCACATGCAGAATCACAGTTCCAGCTGTATGACTGAAGGATCAGCTACTTGTAGCATGCTGAAAGCTGCTCAGGTCATCTGCTCCAGCTTCCACATTAAGTAAAAACCCACGGCTCCAAGCTGCACGCTGCAGAGCTGGTATGCTTCCATGCTTGAAGAAGAATGCAGGTGATGTAATTATACATTCTGGACAAAGATGGGACATTTTCTTGCCTTGACAGCAGTCAACTGCACAGCAGACAACAAATATGAATAAAAGAAGTACCACTAAGCACAAATAATCATAATGAAATCGGTTGACACACTGACCTAGCAGTTGTTGACAAAAGGCTGTAAGGACAGAATAAGCGAGCCGCGAAGCAGCTGTTAAAGCCCACCGTACAAAGTAACATCCCCGCGACCCCCCGTCGCGACGACCTTCGCAACCAAAAGCTTTCCGTATGCTTCTGACCGCTCATCCCGTTATCCCACGCTGGCCGTACCGCCCTCGTTACCTTCAAGGCCACACGTCTGCAGCAAGCTTTGCGTCACCCGACCCCACAGCCGCGGCACCTCCGCTGCTCCTCGCCCATCCGCGGCTCGGGGACGCGGGCGGAGAATGGCAGGACGAGGCAGGCCGCGCCTCCGGCCCAGACTCACCTCCGCCCGCAGTCTCTCGGGTGCGAGCAGCCAGCCCGCCGGCTGCCCCTCCGCGCCGGGCGCGCCGCCCGCCGCTCCCGGGGCCCGGACCGTCGCCACGCACGCGCACGGGCCGCCGCCAACTCGGAGCAAGAGAGGCGCCGCCCTGCCCAGACGTCGTGAGAGCGCCTCGCTGTGGCGGGAGGGCGCCGCTGCAGCGGCAAGGCGGGCTGCCGTGGAGTTCGTTGAGGCTTGCGAAATTGGTAGCAAAGAGCTGCCGCCGCCAGCCTGCTTTTAAAGCTGTCAGCTCTTGCTCGCACCTTGTCCAGAAGCGTATCGTGCTTCTCCCTCAGGCATCTGGAATTGTTATTAAGCACTGAAATAGGCTCCCCAAGGTGGTGGTTGAGTCACCATCCCTGGATGTGTTTAAAAACCATCTGGATGTGGTGCTCAGGGACGTGATTTAGCAGAGGGTTGTTTGAGTTGGGGTAGAATGGTTAGGTCATGATTGGATTCGATGATCTTTAAGGTCTTTTCCAACCTGAGTTATTCTGTGATCCTGATTCTGTGATTCTGTGATTCTATGATGTTGCAAAGGAAGTCCTGTATAGGAAGTGAGTGGAACAAAAAGCCCCTATCCCAAGGGAAACCATGAGCTCCCCTCCTGACAGGGCATGATAAATCCGTGGCACAAAACTCTATGCCAGAACCACACACACTGGCGGCATGCTAAAAAGCAGGTGTCAATGAATTGCCCCTTTGCCAAAAGCGTGTCAGTGCTGCTATATCCCCTTGCATGACCCCCCTTGAGGCCCTGTCACCCCAGAGCCATGGGGACAGCCCCTGGTAGAACCACATCCAGGCCTTCCCCTCACCCCTAGTGCAGCCTGCTGGGGCCCTTTGCCCACCCACTCAAAATGGCAGCCCAGAAGCACTTGCTGCAGCCCAGACACATGCCGGCATGCTGCCGGCCCCCTGGGCCATGTGCTGCAGCCCATTCCTCCCTGTGCCAGGGGACATCTTGACATGCAAGGAGGTTCAGCACTACAGGAAAATTTGGGTGGTAGTGCCATTTTATTGAGAGCTTAGATTGAACAGAATGCAAGCAGCATCAGCTTTTTTTCTATCAAAACAGCAAGAAAAAATGGAGGACGTAGTCTGTCTACCTCAGGGAGCCCATTCGTATGCTGGTGATGCTGCTCAGCCAGACAAGTCTGCAGCACAGCACTATTTTTAGACTCTGTTGCCATTTATATCCGGTAAAAATATTCATCAGCATCTTGGGTAACAGGCTATCAATTTTTATAAATGTAGAAGAGAGGTGGGATATTTTGCCTCACTTGCTTTGCCCTCTTCTGTCTCACCTTATCTGACCCTCCTGAGGTCATGTGGGGATTTGTTGCTGAGTGCTTTTCCATCGTGCCGTACATTCACTGTCTGTCACACAGCCCCACGGGTTTTCTGCTAGGACAGAAAAAAATGGCTGCAGAGCCTTTTGTGCTGGGTCTCCTTTCACTCAAGGCAGCTGCAGGAGAGGCTGCGAGGTACCTGGTGCAGCCAGTGCTGGAAGCAGCATGCTCTGAAAAACCCTTTTCAATAAAAGATTGTGCTAAAAGGGAAATATGAAACTCAGTGTCTTGGGGACATCTTTTCCATCTTTGCTTTCATTCTATGGCATAGCATAAGTAAGTCATAGCTCATACTTCATTTCTGAAACACTCACTAACGGCTATAACAAGGAATCAAGGACCTGGGATGAATGAAGCAATTTGGCTCTGGCGTAAGAAAAAGCAGGATTTTGTACCAGCCAGAGCATTCCCTTTCAGCTTATGTCAGAACTGAACAATGAGCTCAGTGACGGCATTCAGCTGATGCCTGGGCTGAGCAATATCTGCATCCAGCATCCACCCGCACAGCTGCAGCCTCCTGAGCCATCGCACACCTCCAATGGGGCTGTGCTGTGCCCGGTAGCACTGAGCGGCTTGTAACATGCCAACCTCTGTAAGCTGAGGTCCAGCCTTCCCAAACTGAAAGGAGAAGGAAACGTGAAGAGACTCCAGCAATCTGCTGCTACAGCTCCCGCAGCAGGACGCGAGCCATGAGGAGATTCGTTCAAGCAAGCGTTCCCTGCAAAGAAACCCTGCTGTGACAGAAGCGCATGGATAGGGATGCTCTCCGTGTGCTTCCCTGTCCCCAGAGCCCTGAGCTGTCATGCCGCGCGGAGGCATTCATGCTTCACCGAGCAGCACTCCCTGCACCGCGCTGCCTGCCTGCTCGCACCTCACTGACCGGCAGCGCCGGGGGGACGGAGCTGCTAAAAACAGCATTTCCTCACGGTGTTTTTCCAGACTATTTTTGATTCCCCATTTTGATAAGGTCGACTGGCTCACTGCTAAAAATAACCAGTCCTGGCAAAGCGAGGACAAAAGTCAGAGTATTTATAACCACCTCTGAGTGAAGTGCATTTGTCGCTGGCCAGTTGCTGGTTTTATGTAAGCTGCACAGAATTAATTGGAGTGAAGAATGAGCACACCTTGCTCCTCCGAGCTTCTCCAACAGGATACGTGTGTTTCTGTACATATCCTCGTAAGCTACCTTGTGTTTCACAGTGTGGCCTGAATTGCCTCCGGAAAAAGTCCAAACCAATCCTCTCTTATGGGAGTCTCTCTCACTAAAATGGCTGCACGTATAAAAGCAGCTGGATTTGTTTGCATGCTCAATACTTCAGATGCAGATATGGCTGGGGAGGGATTCACGCAGCTTACTCCATGAAGAAGGTTTTTTTCACTATCTTTCTGATGAAATATAACCCTGCCAATGGCAGAAAGGTGTACTGTGCAGGAAATTACCTCCTCTAGCTGGAAAATTCTAAACATCCCCGTGGGATAAATGTGCTGGGAGGGGGCTGAGAGGCTGGAACTGCTCCTGGCAAAGGCCAGAAACCATCCAGCATCCTTTCTCTGCTCAAATGAGTGGAAACAGGAAAACAGAAATTATAAGCAAAGGCAATTTTATCACTTATTAGAATTACAGTGGATATAAACAAGAAGGCTTATACTCATCTTAATGTGTTATACTCAACTTGATGGCCTTGCATGTTTTATATTAAATGTTGCTTTATTTATTTATTCTAATGTAGCTCTGAGCAGCTTTATCATTTCAGATACTGCTCTGTTTGCCTATTGCTGGAAGAAGAAATGCAGGGGGCATTCAGACCTTACTCATTTCTGTACGTATGTATGTATTTATTTACTTCTGCCATGCAGAAAAGAAACCAAAAACTGTTACTGATGCTAAGGAGCAATAGCGTCCATAGCACATATCTTGTGGGGAGGCAGCAGAGGGAAGGAAACAGTGACCAAGGAGCTCTTGCACAGAGGAGCCCTGCTGCAGCTCCCTGGAGCAGCAGCCATCCTGGCAGGGCACTCAGATAGCAAGCAGCAGCCAGCCATTGGGATGACTGAAACCTATTCCAGCAGTGGGCTCCTAATGCCACATTTCTCTACCCTCATTTCCAGTTATATTCCGAGTTTCCATTATCAAGCTAACTTTACCCAGCAGGGAGTTCCTCAGGGAGTTAAAGCTGAAAAAAAAACCATGAAAAACAGTCCAAGCAACAAAATATTCATCTCCCCTGCTAATTTTAGTTGCCATAAGTTCAGATAGAAGTGGCTTTGCACTGCAGTATGATAGCTGTGAGAATCTTGAAAATGTATTGCAGCCTCTGCACTGCAGAGAGGTGTGTTTTGCTAGTCTTTTCCACATGGACAGTACAAAAAATCCACTTTCGGAACAGTAAAACTCTACATCTAAGTGAATGCTGGATAGCAATACACTCCAACCATTGGGATGAGTGGAAAGTCTAATGAAAAGAAAGGAGGTGGCAATTAATAGTTTGAATTTGTCCTAAGAGTCCTCTAAAATGCAGTTTCAGCAAATGGCCGTACAGTCTGCCTTTGTCATTTCAAAGAGCTTGTTTTTGTTGCTCAGATCCTCCATGGGATAAATAAGGGGGCAAGTCAGTAAGTCCATTTGCATTTTGGCTGCACATCTCACCTCCCACTCGTGTAAGGAAAGCTGCTATGTGCTATATCTTTCTCTATGGACAGTCAAATGCAAATGCAAAGTAAATGATAATAACCTCAGAGTGTGCTTAGAACCATTTTACATGGAAATATAACAAACTACTAAGCAAATATGATGATTCCATCTCTCCACTACCCTTGCCTCCCCTCACTGTTGTTGGAGATGGAGCAGTCCCTCTACCCACAGCACTGCTTGCTCCTAAGCCCATCACTTTCCCCATAGATACATCAGCAAAGTGCAGCTGCAGCACTTATTTGCTACCTATGCTGTGGTAATTCAAATTATGATACAGACACATGCTTTTGTCACTTGTTACGTGTCTTTCTGCCCAAACCTACAAAGCCCAAAAACAAAATCAACAGAACCATAGAATAGTTGATCACTGACACACTATCTCACAAAATAATTGTAAAAGGAAAGCTCTTTTCCTTGAAGACTGGACCAAAGAATAACTTGAATTATTTTCACTCTGAATTTTGTCTTTCACCTCTCTAACTCATTATATTCAGACTCCATAATGCTACCAAGATATAACTTGGTACTGCCAAGTCACAGGAGGAGAGTCATGTGCTTCCATTCACCTTTTATGGACCATTTCCTTTAACTCTAAATTAATAAGTATGCAGAAAAAAAGCTTCCTTTAAGATATCAATAAAAGTAATATTCAAGAAACTAAACATTTCTGCATCTGAGAAAGAAGCTTTCCAACAAAAGTTCTTTGTCATCATCATACAGTGTCCTTCAAAATGGAAAACAGAGGAAGGACAGGAGACCAGAGAATACAGTTTAGTCAAGAAGGCTACTTTGCCAAATGATAGACTTAGTAGTTCAGGTAACGGTGGGAGATGCCACCTTGAAAGCCTGTGGGCATCAAGTAGGCACATCTAACACAGAGGTA